GACATCAGTCTTATGTGAGCTTTTCGTTTTCACGAGTTGGCTATCCCTTTCAATAGGAATGGAGGCTCTGCACACGTGGCTGTTGTGTGTGGTTTCTCAACTGATGAAAAAGCTTACTTTTTTTTTTCAGTTTGAGAACCTTTCCTTGACTTTTTTACCTTCGTGGTCTCCTGTGATGTTTGCCCTTTTGTGAATGAGTGATCTCACACCCTGCTGATTATTTTGGTTCTAATTAAAATTTAACAAAATTCTCTAGCATCACCTCTAGAACCAGATCCTGACATGTAAGCTTGTTCAGTAGTGAAACTTAGTTTTTGATTATTTGAAATTGCTTGGAAAGTTCTCGGTTTGGTATTAACTAGCCCAGAGATGGAAATGTTCTCTGTGCTCCTTCTCTAATAAAAACTGGGCTTCGATTTTGTGTCAGGTGTAATCTTGCAGGAGAAAGGTGAGGCCCTGCTTCTACAAATATTTACAGCCTTGGACACCGAGAGAGCAGTTCTAATCTGCCCTACAGGGCCACCACGGGCCAGGATCTGCTGGCTTGACAGTGGGTAGACAATCAGCATCTTTGATCTTGAGAGCTGCCTCTGGCTTGCTTGCCCATGCTGTGATGGTAGCTGAATGAGTCCGCGTATGTTGACTTTTTAACGTAGTGTCAGGTTCAGTAAGTACATAGGGCACACGTGGCCTGCCACCTTGAACAAGTGTTTATCCCTTCTCGAGTGGATTCCGCCTCGTGCTGCCCTCGTGAGTCTGTCCGAGTAGAACGGACACTTCATGGGGTTTTCAATGGACCCTGTTTTTGGAAGCAGATCTGCACACCATAATTTGGAGGCACCTCTGGGTAGTCTTCAACTGTAACATCAGCGTTTCATATAGCAGCCAAGTGTGTCAGCCGTTTGCACCACCCCAGGGGCTCCTGAAAACAATGGGCATCCCCTCACTTTCTTAACAGCCACACCTTTACTAATAAATAAATTATGATGTGATATAGAGGGAATTTCACTCTTTTTTTTTTTTTTTGAGAATCATTCTGAGCATCACCACATTGTTAAGTAGGTGTCACACTTAATTAACCAAATGAGGTGAAATCTAGCTATTGATTGGAGTTGACTTTTAACTTGCTGTTAGCTGTACAGGCATACTCTGTTGTGGCAATTTTATTGGTGGCAGTTTTGCATTGAATTAATCCATGGACACCATTTTTCCAACAGCACGTGCTCCCGTAGTGTATCTGGGTCACACTTTGATATTTCTCAGTCGTTGGAACTTTCTCATCATGCCATTACACCCTGAACAAGCCACAGTGTAGTGTAGGCATAGCTTTTTAATGTGCACTGGGAAACCAGAAGGAAAAAAAATGGCGTGATTCACTTGATTGCTACACTCACAGGATTGTGATGGTCTGGAATGGAACCTGTATTATCTTGGCACTATGCCTATGTTGGCTGTATAGACGGTTACATAGCCATTTGAGTAAACAAACAAACACATAAACAAGCTCAAAGCCACTGCCACAAGTCAATTCCGACTCATCATGACCCTATAGGACAAGGTAAAACTGCTCTGTGACTAATAGAAAGCCTCATCTTTCTCCCTCGGAGTGGCTGGTGGTTTTGAACTGCCAATCTTGTTTTCAGCCCAACATGTAATCCATGGTGTCACCAGGCTTCCCTCATCTGGGTGCTCACCCCACTGAGCCTGTGCCAACTCCTAGCCACCATACAGGCCAGGGTGGACCGGCCTCTGTGAGTGTCCGACACCTGCTCTTTATGGGAGGAGAAAGCCCTGTCTTTCTCCTGAAATCTGTATTCGAAACCTAGCTATTTTCTGTTCAGTTAAATTATTGTATAAACATTTACTTTTTAAAGCCGCCAAGTTCCTTATTTTTCATCTGTAAAGAGAAATTACTTCCGACGATGGATTGTCTCTTTCTCTCCTTTTTTTTTTTTTCCAAATTAAAAGTTAGTAGTGGTTGTTCACTTGGATTTTCCCCTTTGGAAATGTTCTTTTTATGTGAGTTAAAAGATGTGCCACATATCTGACTTCAGTTTAAACTCACAGTCTAATTCGATTAAGTTGTGTGGGGATGAGGGAAGGCCTGGTCCTAATGTAGGGATGTTGACATGTGTTCCAAAATTCGTGTTTCTAGTAAGTGCAGGTTAACTGAGCACGTTCTTTTCTAAGAGGAGCCCCCATGGCATGGGGTTCAGCACATCTGCCCTCATTCACCTTCGCAGCCGTAGAAAGCCCTGTGCTACTCTGCCCTGCAGGGTGGCTATGTGTCAGAATAGGCTCAATGGCAGTGAGTTTTGGGTTCCTGTGCAAACTTCACTGAGAAGCAGGCCTTAATTGGCCTTCACAGGAACACAAAGTCTGTTGTTTTTTGTTTCATTTTTTTCTTTCTTTCTTCTAAATTTTTAGTTATTTATTTTTCTTTTTAATTTAACTGGTGCGCATTACTTTGCTTTGCTTTTTGAGCCTTTTGGAAACCACAGGTCCTTGTCAGATGGTCTAATAGTGCCCCAGGCTGATATGAGGGCTCTGTCGATAGTGTGTGCTGATTGTAGATAAAGCAGCGTTGATGGAAGTGCCCCTCTCTTTTTCATTTTGCTCACCGAGATTTGACTTTCTTATTGACCCACATATAGCCCGAGGGGCTCGCGGTGCTAGTGGTGTTTTGAGCCTTGCAGGCTTCACCGGGTTCTTTGTTAGGCCCTTGACATGTTGGTTAGTTCAACTTCAAGGTGGACAGGGTTCTAATGGGCTAGGACAATGACTTCCAAACTGTGCCATGTGGAGTCCCAGGGCCTGCCTGGTGAGCAGACACAGCTTCCTTCTCTGTTTCAGCCAGAGAGCGACCCACCCCCGCCCCCAACATGACGAAGCATCAGTTGGGGAAATTGTTTTGTTGCCAGGTGGTTGATGCCAACATTTCCTGACTACAGTGCTTCTGCTCCTCTCCCCTTCATCCCAGGGCCGGGGTACTCTTCTTCCTGGTGACCAACCAGTGCTTCAGCAGTGTGTCCGCGGTGGAGCTCTTTGTGGTGGAGAAGAAGCTCTTCATGTAAGTCGATTTCTGCCCTGGGGAGAGCAGAGCAGGGGCTAGGGCTCTAGCATCAGAGGTCTGCGTCAAACTGGTTACGTCCAGAGCTGGGCCAACGATGGGATCCTGAGGCCTGCCGATACGAATTGAGGAAGAGCAGCCAGAGGTTAGAGGAGAGTCAGGAGCCGGTGACCCAGATTGGGTTTGACAGCAAATCCAAACACTGCAGCCAAAGCAAGCAGCAAAGGACTGGATCAGCCTCTCTGGCTCTTAGACAATTGCGTGGATCACGGTGACCCTGGCAGGGGAAGTCTGAGAGGACTGACAGACGCGTTGTGGTGGCGTGGAAAGCAAGTTGGAGGTGGGGAGGTAAGGTTGAAGAAGGATGTAGCCACAGCTGGCTTGACGGAAAGAGGAGAGGGGAAAGGCGGAGGGCAGCCTTACTATGGTCAAGGGTGGGCCGCGTGTGTTTCTTGGGTTTTTCAAAGATGAGATTTCCCCCCGTATTTGTATGTTGAGGAAAAGAATCATCAGAGAGCCAAAGCCCAACCCAACTCACTGTCACTGAGTCGATGGCGACCCTATAGGGCAGGGTGGAGCTGCTCCTGTGAGTTTCCAGGGCTGTAATTGAATTACTGGAGTAGAAAGAACTGTCTTTCTCTAGAGAAGTGGCTGATGGTTTTGAACTGCCGACCTTGTGGTTCACAGAGCAATGTGTAACCAACTATGTATGCCACCAGGGCTTCTTAGAGAGCAAGAGTGAAGATATTGGAGTGAGAGTTAGAATTACAACCGGAAGTTGTCAGGAAGGGGAGGATCTTGAGTGGTAGCCCCCACTGTCAAGGAGTTGATCCCTACTCAGATCTGGAGGGGCAGAAATAGCTGACAGAAGGGTATGGTTGGGAGGCTTTTATGTTTCAAAGAAGATGTGCCATTATCCTTGTTTTTAACGTGAGTTGAAGAAGTGAGAAGCGTAGCATGACGCTTCAGTCTTGGTGGGCTTGGCGAGCAGCAGCGGTCCCTTCTAGCGCCTTCTAAAGAGAAGTCTATGCTACTGCGATCAGCTCCTGTAGGCAAAGTAGTGCCCCAGCACTCTAGTGTGTGAAAGAGCCTCCTCTCAGAGCCTGTCCACCTGGTATAGGCATCCCGGAAAACCCAGCAGATGACATGAGGAAGGAGCTCTGTAATGAGAAGAGGGGTCATTACACAGAGCTTTGTGAGCTGGTGTCTTAGCGGAGCCTCCCGCCTGAGATGGCAGCTAAAGTGGACAGGGATGAAGGGCCCAGTGGGGCTGGTGCTGAGGAAGCTGGAACCATTAGACCCCCTAGGAAGAGCAGAAGCCTGCAGGGCAGGCAATGTGATCTTCTGGTGTATGTCTTAAAATGCCAACTGTTGTCTCGGTGCCTTGTGTTAATCAATGTCAAGAGTACATGATACCTGTTTCTGTTCTTCAGACATGAATATATCAGTGGATATTACAGGGTGTCGGCTTACTTCTTTGGAAAACTGGTATCTGATTTACTGCCCATGAGGATGCTACCAAGTGTTATATTTACTTCTATCATATATTTCATGTTAGGTAAGTGTGTGTGTGTGTGTGTGTGTGTGTGTGTGTGT